CTGCACTGCACTGCACTGCAGGCACTGACAGAGTGGCCACCCTGGGCTGGACCGGGCAGCGTCTGCCTATGGACAGGGAAGGTGGTCTGAACCTTGTGGGCAATGGGGGCCCAGCATCAGCAAGTGAGTGTGCCGCAGGCTGAAGGCAGGACAGGCAGGGCAAGGAGCGGAGACGGGTTTAGGCAGAGCTGGGGTTCTGGTGAGGGGCAGACGGCTCTCTGTGCAGCAGAGCAAGGGTCCTGAGGAGTGTGGGCTAAGGTGGGTTGTTCACCTGGCAGCAGCTGGCAGTCATGCAGAGGACCCCCATCTGTGCCAGGGGGTGTGGGGTGTAGACAGGGTCACTTGGGGTGGCCTGATTCCTCCTTGGTTCTGCTTTCTGTACGGGCGGGGACTTCAGTCTGAATGATCGGATCCTTTGGCAAAAGGCCAAGCATGGGAAAGTGAGATGCAGCTATCAGTGCGTCAGAAGCACCGCTGATTGCTTCTTCATACACATCTTGCCTTTTGTGTTTCTGCTGTGACCATCAACGATAACTTGTCTAAGTAAGAGACACACGCGCAGCAGTGGCTTCCAACACTGCCTTGGGGCCTTCATTGCTTTCAGCGGTTCTGCTGGGGGCAGGTGGGGTGGGGGTGGGGGCGTGTGGCTTCCTGAGACCTCTCTGTGGCCACTGCACTGGGTTAGCTCGCTCACCCGACTTTGTCCTCTGATCAGTGGAGGTCCTTGAGGACTTGGGGTCTGGGATGGGCCCGGGAGGGCTTCGTGGCCTCTGCATTGTACCAGCCGAGCTGGCCGTGTCCAGTTGTACAGTGTTGCCCAGAGGAAGCCACCCTCCCCTGGGAAGCCATCTGCTGCGCTAGTGTGGGATCTGCTTTTATGAATGACTGCTCGGGCACTGTTCCTTAAGCACGGCTCCTCTACAGGCTTTCATCCCTTTGGCTTGTTTTTTTTATCTGACAGCTTAGTGGTTTCTAATAGGAACACTTATTGTCTGTCCCCAGGGTTTATTGAGTTGCAGTGTGGGTGTGCGTGAGAAATGTCAGTTACTGCACAAACACGAATATGTGCAGAGTTGTACTCATTTAGGTCAAGGGTAGAGAGATCCTCCCCCTCTGCCCCCCCATCAAGACTCTAAACTGGAAGCTCCAGGAATTTTGCAATGAAAATGCTTTTATTTTATAGCCCTAGTTGGCCTTCTGTAATAAATCTGCATGCTGGCAAAATCATTTGTTTCTTATTAACTCACCTAATGTATTTTTAATTATCCAGAGGCAATCGGATGACATTAGAACAACTTTGATTGCAATCGATCCTTTGAAAGTTCCTCCATAGCGTATTTCCCACATGGAGCAGCTAGTTGTAATTAACACGACTTTCATTTTTATTGAAATTTGGCTGAATTGGCTCAATCCAGATTCAGGTGGGTGATTTATATAAGTATGTTTTAAAGACTCTTTCAAGTGTTGATAGCTTATTTAAGTCCAAAGCCAGAGAGGACTGCTCAGGCATCTAAACGCGAGGTTCTCCACCAGGGCACTCTGGCAATGCCTGGAGACATCACCCCCACCATGTGTGCCAAGCAAAAATGGCTCCTGTTCTGCTGTTGCTCCTAGTTGACCACTGCTTGCCGGCTGCCACCAGAGACCTTGGCTCTGCCTCTTGGGGGTGCAGGTGGCCACTCCATCTTTTCTCCGTGTGACTGTACTCCAACCTCACGTGACCTTCATGTTGCCACATTCCTGGGTACTCCTGTGTGTTCTGTTCTCTTGGGCTTGTGTGGCTACTTCTCTGATTACTACCTTTTAACAAACAGCTCTTGAGCTGTTTCTGCAATGTATCCTCATATTGTCTCTTGGAGAATCTCCACCGCTTCATGCTTTTAATCATCCCAAACTTTCTAGGCTATTTTTGAATGATTTTTTTTTTTTTCTGAGCACCCAAGCTGAGTTGTCAGCACTTCACCACATCTCCCTATGTTTTCTTTCAGTATCTTAAAACCCAACAAAACTGAAGGATGATATTCTCATCTCTATACCATCTTTCTGTTGATTCTTGGGTATAGATAAATACCATCACTATTCCTGAAGTCACCTACATTATCTTTTCTGTGTCTTCCCAAAATTTATCTGAGTAGAGCAACAGTTGTTATATTTTACATTTTTGGGGTCAGGAATTTCATCAGGGCTCAGCTAGGTGGTTCTTTTGCCCTGGTGATACTCAGAGGGTTTCCACTGAACTCGTATTTGGTGTCCTGGCAGGGAGGTCTGGGAGCTGGACTCAGTGGGCACTGCCAGCCAGAGCTTCTGACCACGGACTTCTGAGTTTGTGTCTCAGTGCCCTAACAATGTGTTCTGAGAGACCAGAAGAAGAAACTGTAGTCTCGCAGGGCTTGGGCTTAGCAACTAGCACCTCGTCCTTGTTGCATTCCATTACTGCACAGAGCAGTCACAGAGCCACCCCAGTTAAGTGATCCTGTCCCTGGGGAGGGGGTGGCCGATCTGTCTTTGATTGGCGGTTCCTTCCTTCTCCCACCACAATTGTGTTTGCTCCTTGCCTTTGCATTTTATTCACACTGACCTCACCTGAAGTCACAGATTCACCTCTTTTTTGAAACAACTGTGGTAGCTTCTGATGAGCCTCTCCACACTGCATCTTCTGAGAATAATCTGATTAATAGTTATTGTAAGGTTAACACGCTGTGGTCCTTTGTTGCCTAAAAAGCAGGCCTCCCACCCGACTGTAGGTTTCCTTCCACGTCTGGACCCGTTGTCTGAGTGCTTCTGACAGGGCCCTTTGTATACCCCGGGCCTGGGTCAAGTGCAGCGACACATCCCAGTGGACGCGTGTTGGGTCCTCGTCCCTCCCGTGCCTCCAGTCTGCCTTCCTGGCTTCTTCCTCCAGGGGAGCCTGTCCTTCCAGAGGCCTCTGGTGGCCGAGACCCTCTTACTTCTTCCTGCCCCGGGCCCTGTGCTTGGCCCTCCGCTCACTCCCTCGACACCTTCGTTTCTTTGCAAGGTCTGGATTCCCAGCCGGAACCACACTTACTTTTACAGTCCTCTCCGCTTTAAAGCTTGTTAATCTTTTACATCGTTCAACTCTCCCAGTACCCGACGTAGTACTTTGACTTTACCCAGTAGGTGCTCCGTGTGGATTTTACTTGATTCACACTCCTCTGTAGCCAGTTTTTTAATTCTTACAGGCAAATGACCTATAAATTTACAAGGATACACTCAATAAATAGAGGTGCTTTAAGAGTTATGTGAGGCACCAGTCAGGTGTTAGGTGCACTCCAGTGCTTATGGTCTGATTGAGTAGTAGGATATTTCTAGGTGTTAAAATGGGGGTGGGTGGGCCGACGCTGCTGCTCACTAGGCTAATCCTCCGCATGTGGCGCCTGCACACCGGGTTCTAGTCCCAGTCGGGGCGCCAGATTCTGTACCGGTTGCTCCTCTTCCAGGCCAGCTCTCTGCTGTGGCCCGGGAGTGCAGTGGAGGATGGCCCAAGTGCTTGGGTCCTGCACCTGCATGGGAGACCAGGAGAAGCACCTGGCTCCTGGCTTCGGATCAGCGCAGTGTGCTGGCTAAGGAGGCCATTGGAGGGTGAACCAATGGTAAAGGAAGACCTTTCTCTCTGTCTCTCTCTCTCACTGTCCACTCTGCCTGTCAAAAAAAAAAAAAAAAAGGGGGGGGGATGGGGTGGCTGTAGGATTTCCACATACAGACCTGCGTTTGCTCCAGTAGGTGAGGATATTCCTCTGAGGGAACACCAGGTGATCGTCAGTTACTTTTTTTTTTTTTTTGACAGAGTGGACAGTGAGAGAGAGAGACAGAGAGAAAGGTCTTCCTTTTTGCCGTTGGTTCACCCTCCAATGGCTGCCGCAGCCGGCACACTGCAGCCGGCGCACCGCGCTGATCCGATGGCAGGAGCCAGGTGCTTCTCCTGGTCTCCCATGGGGTGCAGGGCCCATGCACTTGGGCCATCCTCCACTGCACTCCCGGGCCACAGCAGAGAGCTGGCCTGGAAGAGGGGCAACCGGGACAGAATCCGGCGCCCCGACCGGGATTAGAACCTGGTGTGCCGGTGCCGCAAGGCGGAGGATTAGCCTACTGAGCCATGGCGCCGGCCTGTCAGTTACTTATTGTTATCATAGTGTTCATTGTTTGCACAGTTTGGTTCTCTAGTGTTTCACTCACCTGAGGTCATCTACAGTCTGAAATATTAAATGGAAGATTCCAGAAATAAACAGCTTAGAATTTTTAAATTGCATGTTGTTCCATCTTGTGCCATCCTGCTGCATCTTGCCTGGGATACGCATCCTCCTTCTATCCACCGTTTCCACGCTGTATATGCTGCCTGCCCGTTAGTCATTTAGTAGCTGGCTTGATGATGAGACTGGCTTTCATGGTCTCACGGTGCTTGTGTTCAAGTGACACTTACTGTACTCAGCAGTGGCTCCAAAGCACAGAAGCAGTGATGCTGGCCCAGTCTGAAATGGGAAAGAAAAGCCATCCAGTGCTTTCTTTCAGTGAAAAGATGAAAAACCATTGTACGTTGGGGTTGTTGAGATCTGAAGTGCATCATGGTTTTTATTCTCTCGCTGTGTGTGACTTAGAAATTAACCTGTCGTGGGTTTGTGTGAGCGTGTGCGGAGAAGCACACAGCATGTAGCGGCTTCAGTCCGATTTGATTTCATGCACCCGCTGGGGTCTAGGGATGTATCTCCCAAGGGGGGGGGAGGGATGTGCTTAGCAGCGACGGATGAGTCGTTGGAACTCAAGCTGGAAATTTCTCTTTTATAACAAATGAGTTATCTCCTAAAATTAGAGAGCGGAGGAGTGGTCCGTGCTCATGCACACATGTGCACACGCACGCACACACAGATGTGCCTGTGCGCGCCAGGCTGTCTTCGCAGTGCATCGCGGTGAAGTCAGTGTGGGGCTCAGGCCCCCGTCAGCACCCTGGGCTCGGCTCATGCAGCTGCTCTCTTTCTGTGCCTTAGGCCCTTTTCACACATGAGGGGAGGACCAGCCTCCGGCTAGAAGACGAGCACCCCGTGTCGGAGACCCGCTGCGCACCATGAAGGGAGCCTGCATGGTCGCCTGGCTGCTCTCGAGCCTGGGGGTGTGGAGACTCGCCCAGCCCGAGCCCCGGGACGCCGCGCGGTGCCAGAGGGCTGAGCACCCGGTCATCTCCTACAAAGGTGAGGCTGGGCATGGCGGGCGGCGGTCTGTTTCTGAGTCTGTCCGCTCTCACTGTGTGTCAAAATTCCCATGCAAATCAATTGAAGGAGAAGCCAAGTCCTTCGTCCTGGCAGAGTCCGCTGCAGTCTGGACTTTGCCCATTCCGTCCTGTCTGTGTTGGTCAAGCACTCTTCTATCCCGAGTAGCTCTGTAGACTCAGCGTGACATCAGGATGCCCGATGGGACTCAGGCTCCGCTCCTTGTCTGGACGGCGGGGTGGGTGGCGCTCTGCTTCCCTCCGGGCATAGAGAACGTCCCTGTGGGAAATGAACAGCCTTTGCTGATGCGTTTGTGGGAGCATAGCTGAGGTTGACTATTTTTCTTTCTTCCTTGCATGGTTAGAATATTTTTGTATAAACTGACTTTCCTTCAGCTCCTGTTTGAATATCCTGAAGCTACAGCTCCTTTAGGGAAGGCAGAATAAATGCCTTCCCTACTAGTTTTTTTTTTTTTTTTTTTTTTCCTTCCCAACTAGTTTTTATATTTTTCCCAAACTAGTAGGTGGTTCCTTGACATCCATTGGCCATCCCAGGGGGTTAATGAGATGTTGGGCGTGCCCCGCCCTGTTCTGATGAGTAGACTCTGAGTGTATGGATTTGAATGGATTTGATGCACTGCAGTCCACTGCAGCTTTGATCCTTGGGGATGGTGAGGCCGTGGCACTGCAAGCTCAGAGGGGCTGAGTTCTCCTCCCTGTGCCCGAGGAATCCCGGGGGCTCCGGCGCTCTCTGGGGCCCCACGCTGCTCCCACTTCTTTGTCCCATTGCTTCCTGGAGATCTGGGCATCCCTTTGGCTGCTTCAAGCACTAAAGGTGCTCACAGGTCTTCCTAGTGGACAGTACTAGAAAACCCTTAAAAAACTAAACCCATCGCCGGCACCTCCCGATGCTCCTGGTGCATCTCAGGACCAGGGCTGTCTGACGCCTCTGCTAACCTCCGTGTGTGCCTTTTGTGGAATCCTGAGTGCTGGGGGCCAGCAGAGGTCTTCGTTTGCCTTTTCCCAGTCACATTCATCATTTCACAATAACCACTCCTTGCCATCCCGTTGTTTTGGTTATTGGAAATCTTCTAAGATGATTTTGTTTTTGTTTGGCCCTCAGGGTATGTTTTTCTGGAGTGTTCCAGCAGGCTTAGTGCTCTGAAGTTCTTTGGAACAATCTCTTTCTGCACAGCTTCCCAGCCGCTGTCCTCGGTGAAAGTTTCCTTCCCCGAACCCCGCTGATTCCATTTGCTTAATTTTCATTGTGAATTTTTAGAGATTCCTACAATGCCTGTAGTTACTGTGTGGTATCGCAGAGTCGGATTAATGAAGCTCACGCAGTTCAGAGACACAGCCTGGCTCCCTGTTCCCCGGGTTCCCTCTCTGCATTCCGTGGATCTTTTGTTTGAATTCTGCATTTATACTTCTTCTGTAACATAAACTGAGCAATATAGATACTCACATGCATACAAGTGTATGTTTATACTCAGTAGATAAAGGGTAGCATGCATATTAACTTGTCTTTATCACTATTTTTTTTTTTTTTGCCATAATGATATATCCTGGAGACCTCCTCTTATTAGAATATACAGATTTTTTTTGTCATTTTTGTAGATAGCCACATTTTGAGATGCGCTCACGTGATTAAGAGGCGGCTGTCCTATGAGATGGGCCCCAGGCTCCTCATGACCGGGTCCTGAGAAATGCTTGGTCTACCGTCTGTCGTTGGAGCCCACGGATGGTGTTTGGGCCGTGCTGCCTCCTGCAAGCAGCCTATGAGAGCTTTGCAAGGGTACCCTTGCATCGATTCCAGTAGCTGGGATTTGGGGGTCGAAGGGCCCATGCATGCGTGGCTTTGCTGCATGTTGTCATTCCTTGGATTGCACCGCTTTGCATGTCTGTCACCTTGGCTACGAGACAAGTTTTAGTTTCCCGGCGGCCATTCCAGCAGAGTGCACTGCTGGGCTTTGGCGTTGGCACCGAGACAGCGGCTCACAAGTGACATCCCAGCGTATTCTTAGTGTGCAGGTTGCACGTGAGTGGACATTCCACGGACATTTAGTAGGTGCCCGTTACGGAGGTCTACGCTCACTGTTCTGGCGGCAGAAGCAAAAGGCAGAGTTCTCGTGAAAGGAGTTGAGAAAACTTTGAGGAGCGTGCACCAAGCAGGCCATTGCTCTCCGCGCTGTGAAGGGCCCTCCTCTGGTCTCTGTTGGGCGCCATGGTGCCCATTTGAGGGGCATCAAAGCCGGAGGGCGGCCGAAGGTTCTAGGAGGCGGCCAGGCCAGAGTCGAGTCCCGCACGATTGTTGGAAGGTGTTGAGGAAACTGCTGAAGGGAGAGGGGTTCCTGCGAGCGGAGGAGAGCGACCCAGAGGTCCTGCGTGAGGGAGGCAGGCATGGCAGGTGCTGGCAGGGACCAGGTAGAGTTAGTGTGGCAGTGAGGAGAGAGTGGAGGGGCTGAGGCCGGCCATTGGAAATCACCTGAAGCAGGTTGTCCTCTCTGGAGGTCGGGAGGAGGTGGCAGGTGGCAGGGAGCCCCTGCTGAGACCAAGGGGAGCAGGGAGGAGTGGCAGCACCTGCACAGGTGGCTGAGTTCTGGAAATCAGAAGCAGGTGTTGCTGGTGGCTGAATGGCGGTCGGACAGCAGGGAGGAGGAAGCGCGAGCCCCTCCTCCTGCCCCCCTTCATGGCTGTTGACTCCATTTAGGATGAAGAAGGGAGGCAGGTGTGAGGGGTCTGATGCCTTAGATACAAAGGGCTGAGTCGCTAGGAGCCATCAGGTGGCGTTACCTCGTTGAGAGCAAGGCATCAAGGAGCCAAGAAGGTGAGCGTTTGCTGAGAGGAGGCTGTCGGAGTACCTGGTGTCCAGGGGAGGCCAGGGCAGGCGTGGGCAGCGCGTGCAGTGGCACACTTGTCCTGGTTTGTCTGAGACTTCCCTCTGTAGGTTTGGGAAAACCAGGACACTTGGTCAGTTCCCTGTACTTCCAGCAGTGGGGTCTTGGCTTCCTGGGACTGCCGTCCCAAAGTGCCTCACGTGGTGGCTCGGAACAGCAGAACTGTCCTCTCTGTGGGGGCTGGAGGTCGGGAGGTCAGCCGAGGAGTTGGCAGGGCCACACGCTCTGCGAAAGCTCTGGGGGACACCCCTTTGCCTCCTCGTAGCTTCTTGGCCTTGACTTGTTAGCTCCATGTCCTGATCCGCTAGTCGGTGGTCTCATAGCGCTCCCCCAGTTGTCTCTGCCTTCTCCCCTTTTCACCAGGACACGAGCCATATTCGATTTAGTGCTAACCCTAGTGTACTGTGGCCTCTTCTTAGTTCATTTTAATTTCACCGTCTCAGGTGCCTGGGGCTATGACACCAGTGTAGGCTTGCAGGGGGTCTGATGCAGCCCATAACCAACAGCGCTGATCCGAGCCATTTCTGGGCAGCGCTAGGCAGAGGATGCAGATGGTGGCCGGCGCAGGGATGCATGTGGGCTGGAGGAAAGGAGGGGCGGGCAGTCTCAGCCTTGGGCAGTGGCTTCAAAGGGGCAGCAAGGACGTATGCTTCACTGGTGATGAGCAGGAGCCAGGGGGAGGAGAGGGGGAGTTAATTGATCAGGCGGCAGGCTGTGAGAGGGAATAGGATACTGGGAACAGGTGGGGGGTTAGCTTGTAGGAAGCAGATTCCCCCTGCAGGGAGCCAGAGGGAAGGAGGCCAGGGCACCCTGCAGGCAGGGAGGTGAGTGGGAAGCTGGGGGTGGAAGGGCACGGAGCCCCTGAGGACCTCAGACTTGGATGAGGAGGGGGGGCAGGCCCCAGGCCAAGGGCATGGGGGCTCTAGGAAGGAAGTGCTTGTCCAGAGAAGGCTTACACAACTGCTGGTGTCTCTCTCACACACTCATGCACACACGCCCCCAACCTGGCCTCCCAGGGTGTGAGGAGCCCAGGCAGGCCCTGAAATGACTCCCAACAGCTGAGCAGGTGCCGCGGCTACTCCACGTGAATGCTCTTTTCTTTGCCAGGCGGGATCTGCAAGAAAATTGGAGGAAGCAGGACGAAATGCTGATACAGGCGAAGTAAACAAAAAGCAGGGCGGTCCTGACATCCCGAACCTCAATTTCCACGTGCGTTTAAACCGTCAAAACCTAGTGCTGCACGCGGCAGGCATGGTGCACAAGAGGCTGCTAATGAGGCCACTGGAATGTGGAAGTCGCTTCTGCACGCCGCTGAGCACGTGGGGTCGACATTTGAGTTCGATTTACCTGGCTAGGTGGAACATGCTGGCAGCGTCCTTTGCTCTCAAGCCTTGGTAAAATATTTGCCACTGAGGGCTCCGCCTGTGGAGCGGAGTTCATTGCTAACTCGCTTTCACAGCTTGCTCAGTTTGCAGGTTCCTTCCTTGACTGCGTGTTCTGGAATATTTATCCCTGACTGTGCGGTGGCTGCTGAAATACCCTGACCGGTTACAGATGCATGGATCACACTTCTGTCCTTGTCATTTGCCCAACTGTCTGTTCCCTTAAAGAGGGGAGGTAGTGACCCTTCCAAATAGCACGCTTCCCAGCGCGCTTGCCGCGTCTCATATCCATCTCTGAAATTAGTTTTAAATGTTTAATGCCTACTTAAGGCGATAGTGCCGTATTCTGCTTTTGTTTGCCTATTGATTACAGTTTACCCAGCATGCCGGCTGTGGAGAGAGCCTGCTGCAGGGACAGGACTTGGTTTATGGGGAGCAATTGCACATTCTGCCCAGAGAGAGCCCACCAGTGGGGTGGGTCCTGCCACCCTCAGGCCTCCTTTGTCTTGGCGCCTTGGTGTGACTAATCTGGAGGCCTTTAGTATTAGTGCCCCAGATTCCTGCTGCCTGTAGAATCAGGGCATTATTGATTGCCACTCCAGCTTCCCGAGATCTTTATCTTAACTGCTTGGTGTTCCCACAATGTCTTCCTACTCACCAGTGCATTGATTGACCTGAAACTTGTTTGGGAAAGTAGGGAAGAG